AGGGTTTCTCTGTGGCTTTGGAGTCTGTCCTGGACTCCAGCTCTTGTAGACCAGGCTGGTCTCGAACTCACAGAGATCCGCCTGCCTCTGCCTCCCGAGTGCTGGGATTAAAGGCGTGTGCCACCACCACCCGGCCCAGGCACAGGTTTACCAAGCAAAATCCAAGACACTTTGAATTTATTTAGTGGGGGCCATGGTAGCCTTTAATCCCAGCACTTGGGAGGCAGAGGCAGGCAGGTTTCTGAGTTTGAGACCAACCTGCTCTATCTATAGAGTGGGTTCCAGGACATCCAGGGCTACACAGAGAAACCCTGTCTTGAAAGAAAAAATTATTAAAAAACTTTGAATTTCACATTACAAATAAATTTTAGTATTACCTAAATGCAACTTTAATTGGGTGTCTCTTTTTTTGTTTGTTTGTTTTCTTTTGGCAACAATAGATCTGGGTAAGGTGGATGCCAGAAACCCAGAAGGAAATGACACCAGCTTCATTCTGCCCCTCGGGCCTCTGGCATTAGCCACTTCCCTTCAGTTCTCTAGTCCCAGCTCATACCCCCCCACTACAGAGTACCCCCTGTCCCTGGAGCCTTCTCCTCTTCCCTGAGGCATAATTCTACAGGGCTCCAAGCCTGGGCCTGTGACAGGTAGCAGGAAATGAACGGGCAACAGAAGTATATCTCAGGACATGGATGCTGAGAGACACTGTGGTAGGGGCAGAAGGATAAGAAGTCAAAGTTAGCAACAATTTCACTCAAGAGGCAGAGGTATGAGTGTTGCTCCTCCTTGGCTGGGGGGGGGCACTAGTCAGGCCCCTAAACTAACTGCTGCAGAAGTGGGAAGTAGGGGAGAGCAGCAAGGGGCATACTCCTTCCCATCTCCCCAGACTCAGTCACCAAAGGCTGCGAATGGAGAGGGGATTCTCTGGGGCCAGATCCCAATTGCACTTGGCTTAGTCCGGGAAGGTTCTGTTTTTAAGAAGTAGAAATTGCCAAGGGATAATGGGAAACAGAGGCAGAAAGTGGAAGAGAGACCAGAGACCTATTCTTTGCAGGAGAAAGAGCGAGTTGAAGGGTTCCTAGGCGGCAGAAGGGGTGGGGGTGGACTGCAGGACCAAAGCAGTCAAGAGAATGCAGAAAAAAGCAAAACCACAAATCCCTTTCCTCCACGGACCTACAGTGGGTGACCGAGAGAACAAGAGCGGAAAACGGAAGCGCCCAAATTGATACCTTTAGAGATGTGGCGAAATACTGAAACTGGAAAACGGAGACTGGAAGAAAAGGCGAGGTTTCGAGAGTCTTTCAGTGTGAAGAGAAAACGGGGATCAGAAGGCGCGAGGGGGCTCCAAGAAGCCAGCTGTTTCCCAGCAGCCCAGTCAGAGTGGACCCCGTAGCAGGGAATGCAACCACACCAAAGCCTCCCAAAGGGACCTTCCTGCGTCCCCAGACCAGGCTGCGTCCCAGCCACCACCTCAAAGCTCCGCTTCCCTGGGCTCGGCTGCTACACAGCTCTCTTCCACCCTTGACAGTTCTCATGCATACACCTGTCTACCTGCTTTCTGGCCGGAGGCCTCTCAGATCAAGTCCCAGGTCCCTGCGTGCACCTCGGCCCTGGGCGATGCTGCCACCTGGCGGCCCGACTCTGACCGCCTGAGTCCTTCCAGGAATCACGCCTGATTTAGGGCTATAGGCTTTTTGATCACAATAGACAAGTCCGTGGCCTCGGTTTCCCCATTAAGTACTTAGTAATTAAGTCCTTAACCTCAGTTTATCTTTAATCGAAAGGAAATGTGTACCAGCAACTTCCCACAAAGTTGCAAAGGAGAGGGGACACTAACTCCCCAACCCAGATGCTTTTTCCTCCCTCCTTGGGCAAAGCACAAAGGACCTTTATAGTTTATATGATCACACCGCCCACCACCACCACTATCCCTCTTGTTCCTTGGCCTGACTTTCTGAAATCTCTGCCTTTCTCATCTCAGGTACAGCATGTGAGATGCGGGGCGGGACAAGGCATAACTCAGCAGTCTTGAGCTGACCACTCAAACTTTTTATTTTAAAGATATTTTTGTTCCGGGTGGGGTGGTGCACACCTTTAATTCTAGCACTGGGGGGCAGAGGCAGTTGGATCTCTGCGTTCAAGACCAGCTCCCCCCACCCCCTAAATAAATCTTCTGTGCGTATGTTATTGCGTATATGCATCCCACCATGTGCATGCCTGGTGCCCTTAGAGTTCGGAAGTAGGTGTCATCCTCTGGAACTATAACTCTGAAGCTTGTGAGCCACCAAGTATGTAGATGCTGGAAACCCAACCCAGGTCCAACGACAAGTGCTCTTAATCCCTGAGTCATCGGCATCTTCCCAGACTGCCCCCTGCCCCATATTCGTTTCCCTTCCATCTTCCTTCCTTCCTTTCTTCCTTCTTCTTCTTGTTGGGTTTTTGTTTTTTGTTTTGTTTTGTTTTTTTGAACAAGGTTTTTCTGTAACTTTCGCTGTCCTGGAACTTGCTTTGTAGACCAGACTGATCTTGAACTCACAAAGATCCACCTGCCTCCACCTCCCAGCTGCTGGGATTAAAGGTGTGTGCCACCACCACCCGGTTTCTTTATTTATTGCTATTATTATATTATTAGTGTTGCTGCTTCTACCACTGTTGTTGTTGTTGTTATTATTATTATTATTATTATTATGTAATGCTGGCTGACCTGGATTTCATTAGGCTAAATCATACTGATTTTGAACTCACTGAGATTTTCTGTACGGTGGGATTAAAGGTTGGTGTCACCACGCCCTGCTCTAACTACTTAAATGCAGCCCAGAAGAGGGATTCCCATAGTGCTCTGCTACATCCGGCTTACAAAGTGGTTAAATTAGCGGCTCCCACCTTCCAGTTCCTCAGACTCGAGCAAATTCAGCTCCTCTCCACTTCTATCCCCTGAGCTCGGACTGGAAACCTTAGTCTGGCCCAACTCAGGTGTGGTAACTCCGCCCTCACTTCGAGATTGGGCCCCATAGGTGGAGGGAAGTTGGAAAGGTCGTTCCTTGTCACTCCTTCCCGGCACACTGCACACGGAAGCTCAGTGACCCCTTGCCAGGATGCCAGACGCCTGGGTCCCAGGCTTCATTCTCACCCTGCTCTTCGGCCTACTCTCCAGTCTCCAACACGTAAGCGCCAACGAGGTAAGCAAGACTCCTGAGCCTTTTCTCCCCGCATTACCTTGGCAGGAATTCCTTGTAACCACTGACAATTAGCAACTTCCTTTCTCTTTTGCTTGGGGAATGTGGAGGTAGGGACCTCGGAGGGAGGCTCTGGGAAAACCTGGGTCGCTAGTCTTGGTCGAGTTGTGTTCTTAGTGGGATCTGACTCCACCACAGCCCTGAGTGGGAACTTTGACCCCCGTTTTTGTCGTGGCTTCTCTTACTAGCTTATCTTGTAAGGCTGGGGAACCTGAGGTCTCACGTGTCTGGGCTAGGCTGCTCTCCTTCCCTGTTCTCCGCGGCTGGAGAATATGCCTTGGGGAGTATATCAGCCCTTTCTGGGACTTTTCTTAAGTGTACTAGGGAAGAGGAGGCTCTTGATTCATTCACTCTTGTTCTCGGAGGAGACCTGGCTCCCTTGATCTGGGCTGGGTGGCCTCTGGCTTGTGATCCAGGCAGGCAAGGTTTTGAGGGCTGCCCCAAACTCTTGTTTCTCTTAAGTATCTTGGGGTTCCTGCAAAACTGAGAGGTGGTCAAATAAGTCTTTGTTTTGTTTTTCAAGACAAGGTTTCTCTGGGTAGCTTTGGCTGTCTGGAACTCACTCTCTAGACCAGGCTGGCCTCGAACTCAGAGATATGTCTGCCTCTGCTTCCTCAGTGCTGGGATTAAAGGTGTGTGCCACCACTGCTCAGCCAGGATGAGCCTTAAAAACTAAAAATTTACAATCTTGGTTGAGAATCTGTTGGGTTGGGGGTTAGGGGTGAAGATCCAAGCCTGCTCCTCAGAGCAGTTCACCGGCTGTTTAGAATCGAAGCTCTCCGAATCGAAGCTCTCCGTCCAAAGACATGCGTGAACCCAGGTTCAAGGCATTCTTTCCACTTCTGGACACCAGCCTCCTTTGTTGACCCCTCTCTGCAGCCCCAAGTATAGGCATGGTCAGTCTCCCCAGTAAATGCTAATACACCCCACGTTAAATCCTATTCTATGCTTTCTAAAACTCGGGCTCCTAACCATCCCAGGTCAAACCACCCCCTGGTTAAGATGGGAAGGGAATAGTCCTGGTTCAGGTTTGTGTGTCCTCCACTCCCCATCTCCCCCAGGGTTTCTCAGTAGCTATGGAGCCAGTCCTCTGTAGACTAGGAGATTCGCCTACCTCTGCCCCCAGAGTCCTGGGATTAAAGGCGTGTGCCATCACCGCCTGATCTGGTTCAGTTTATTTTGGTTTTTTGAGACAGGGTTTTGCTGTAGTTTTAGAACCTGTCCTGGAACTAGCTCTTGTAGACCAGGCTGGCCTTGAACTCATAGAGATCCACTTGCCTCTGTGTTGGGTTTAAAGGCGTGCGCCACCACTGCCTGGCTCTGGTTCAGTTTGTTAACTTTGCCTCTAAGCCACTACTTTTTAAATTCTTACCTAGTTAGAGGAGGCTGACCTTGAACTCAGCAGAGGTCTGATTTTGCTTCCTCAGCCCCGGAACCAAAAGTGGACTGGAATTAAGGTGGGTGTTACAACTGCTACCACTGCTTAAACTTCCTACAGAAACGAGGTACTGGCGGTAGTTACTCACGCCTTTAATCCCAGCCCTCCAGAGCACCGAGGCGGGTGGGCCAAACTCTGGGTTCAAGACCAGTCTGCTACAAAAGATGTGCTCCAGGACTAGTTACAAAGTGAGACCTTGTCTCCTCAAAAAAAAAAAAAAAAAATGTAGTACAGGAAGAGAGGAGAGTCTGATCTTTGGAAGAGCAGGGAATGTGACTGAGTTCCTGGGCCCCTTAACTGTGTTGTGTTTTTGTTTTTGGCTGTCCTGAAACTCACTTTGTAGACCAAGCTGGTTTTGAACTCACAGAGATCTGCTTGGCTCTGCCTCCCGAGTGCTGGGATTAAAGGCCTGCATCACACCACCTGGCTTCCCTTGCTGTGTCTTTAACTTCCTATACCTGTTCTCACTAAAGAACAGTGCTCCTGTGAGCTTGGAGAGAGGGAATGCTTCCCAGGGGTGACTGTCACTGGTCCCCATGAGATGCTATTCTACTGATCTTTATTTTAGCAAAGCCAAAAGCTGGTTTCCTGTTCTTTATTTGTTGAGACAGGGTCTAGCCCTGGCTGCCCTAGAAATTGCTATGTAGGCAAAGCTGGCATCGAAATCTGCCCACCTCTGCCTCGGGTGTGCTGGGATTAAAGGCAAGGACCTCCACAGCTGGCAATGGTTGTCATTTTAAGTGAGGTGGCCAGAGAGGAAAATGCCTTGAGGACACTTGAGAGATGAGTTTAGACACAGCACAGCTATCAACAGGATGGATTTCTGTACGGAGGCCCTGAATCTCCCCCTGCAGGGATTGTGGATGAATGGGGCGTGGGTGTGTTTAGGGAACTCCTAGAGATGCCTCTACCTGGGACGTGGGGTGCAAAGGGAGCGGGGCTTGGGTTGCTTTCTCGCGTTTCTGGAGCCAGGCATCCACTAAAGTTGGCTTCCTGGGCCAATCCCCCTGTGCAGCAGGGGGAATCAGCTGGGAGCCAGGTATAATGGTCCACACCTTTAATCCAGCTGTCTGGAGATAGGCAGGTAGATCTCAGAATTCCAGGCCAGCCAGGGCTATACGGTGAAGCCCCACCTGTCTCAATAACAAGGGGGTGAAGAAGGAGCAAGGCATGGTAGTGCATGCCTTTATTTAATCCCAGCAGAGGCAGGCTCTAATCATTGACCCTGGACGTGGAGCTGGAGGGAAGGAAAGACTGTCTGAGACCCACTGCCTGAGATGTCCGGATGGAGCTGAGATGTCCGGATGGAGCAGTGTCTGAGACCAGCCTCCCATTCTTTTTGAGACAAGGTCTCTTGAATCCCACTCTGGCCTCACACTGGCTATGTAGCCTTGGATCCTTCTCCTACCTTCTTGGGTTCTGGGATTTTGGACATGAACCACTATTGCTGGTTTATGCCCACTTGATTTATTGTCGTTGCTGGAAATTGAACCCATCACCTAAGTGTATGCTGGGCAAGCAGTCTAAGTACCCAACTCCCAGTTTTTGAACTGTTTTCTGACTTCTGCTGTATTTTTTCTTCTCCCACAGGTTATGAAATGTCCCACCACCATGTAAGTATCAGACTTGGGCTATAGTTGCCAATCAAGGCTTGGGGGTGGGGGCAGTGGTGTGTGCTCAGATGATGGCCTGGATAAGGAGACAGACACCTCCACTCCACCTACTTTTGTTGAAACCATAGTCCCTCTCCCACCTTCCAACCTTGGGAGCTGCAGGAATGGAGCAGCTCTGGCTGCTGTTAATCCCCAACCTTTCTTGCCCGGAGGGTGAGTCAAAAGAGCAAACCCACACTCGAGCCCTATGCCTGCCCTGTAAAGTTAGTAGTATGATCATTCTGCCTGAGGAACAATGGCATACCCGCTAAACTTAGGTCTCAAGTCTAGGCCTCAGTTCCTGCCAGTGAACCCAGGATAGATCTGTACCCCATACCCACTAAGGGTGGCTTGCAACCTGAGCATCGGTGTCTGGGGAAACAAGGTTACCCTTTGGTCTGACACTTTATGGTATCATCAATGTCTCCCCATCTCTGTCTCACTTGACCAGAAGCTGCCCCAAAGGATTCAGATGCTGTGACAGTGGATGCTGCCCAGAAAAAAAGATATGGTATCCTTCAAATGAACCCTTCATGTAAGCACTATTCACAGAGCGCTGGGTCCTCCAGAAATAGAATGGGGGTGGGTGGTAGAGAGGATACGGCAAGGGGGAGTGAGTGGTCCAGGCACTCAGGGAGATGTCATCCCCTCCCCAGGATCTTGTTCGTCATTTTCGCGGTCATGCTACCTCTCCTGTGCATCTGCGGCGTGGCGAGGCGCTTTTGTGGTGTGTGCAGACCACAGCAGAACCTCGAAGAGAATCATCAGGCACCTCCAGAACCACCTTCCAATGTCAGAATCTGGGTCACCGACTTGGATCCCCCACCACCCTATAGTCAGGTGGGTCTTTCCGTCCCAATGCCTAACTTGTTTCATGGCTCCCTATCCAACTTGTTGAAGCAATGGATTGGGGAGGGCTGCCAACCATCTTTGTCGTGCCTTACTCAGGCCTGAAGCAAACCCAGTACACACTTTTTCCCCTGCAGGTTGTTCCGAAGTCAACTTGCACAGAACCACCTCCTCCCTACAGCCTTGAGGACCCTCTTGGCCAAGTGAGAAATGCAACCATTTGAGCTACCTCACCCCCAAACTTCTTGGATCAAGCCCAGGACTTCGGAGACTCTGGAATGACTTTTCATTGTGGGAGCTGAGCTGGAGCCATAGTCTCTGTCCCAACTCCCAAGCTAAAGATTGAGGGTGCCTACCGTGGGATGCAGGGAGAACATGGCTGGTGGAATGCAGATCTTGACTGGACGGCTCGCTCGCTCTGCCATCCTACAGAAGTTTACCTCTGTGCCTGGATTGCAGACTGAACTGCATGGACTCTGAGCCACCTTCCAGCAATGCCTGCACAGACAGGCCCCCACTGTGCACACCACCGCAGGCACGCACAAATCAAATGCACTTGCTAAAGTTTCACTGACTGCTCTGTCTCTGGCTGGGAAGCGGTGAATGGAGATGAACTCATTGGCCAAACTCCAATCAGCTCCTTCCATTGGCACTGGCCACCTGGGAGGACTGTGTGTCCAAGCTGTGAATGAATGCTTTGACTTTAAGATCCCTGGGGGCTTGCGGGTACTAAAGAAATGGACTGGAGTCTCCCCCGTGTCCTGGTCTCTTCTGCTTTCTGGAAGATCAGAACTTGATAAACATGGGACTCTTAAGTGGTAGTGTCCAGTAAACAGGCTTCTAGAAGGTAGGGTGGGGAGGGAACCGGGAGATAGGGTTAGACAGCTCCCTACAGAATGCGTCCTTCCAGATTCCTCTCCTGGAATCTGGAGGGAGGGAGGGAGGGAGGTGGCAGCCCCCACCCTACTCTTCCTTTGCTGAGCCCAGCTTTAGCCCCACCTACAGTTAACCCCTAAAGGAGAAGATCTGTCCTGTGGCTGAGGAGCTAAACAGAACTCAGTCCCTGCAGGGCCTACGTGGGGCACAGCTTGGAGCTCTGACTCACCCTCAGTTGGGACAGCAAAGCTAGGTAGGTCCTGGTGCCAATGCTTGAGACTTGGCAGGGAAGCTAGGTACCTCCACCTCATCCTCGACTTTCCCATGTGTGCTGTGGTGGACTCCAGGCCAGCCTTCCTCTTTGGACACTAAAGAAGTCCCACAGCTGACTGCAGAGGAGGTCACCTGCCTGTCGTTGACTGCAGCAACAGGGGTGTGGCCTGAAGAGACTAGCTTCCCCAAAGCTCAGGGACTTTATTCCTTATTAAAAAATAGCTTATTTTATGACTTTTAATGGTCATTGGTTTCTCTGTGAGGGCATTGGGTCCCCTGGAGTGAGCGTTATAGGTGGTCGTGAGCTGCCATGTGGATGCTGGGAATTGGACCCACGTCCTGGAAGAGCAACCAGTGCTCTTTGCAGCTGAGCCACCTCTCCAGCCTCCTGGAATGACTTCTATTGCCATTCCAGTGGTGGGAGGGGAAGAGGCCTCACCTTTTCAGAGGCGATCTTGGACTATCTATTCATGCCACCATGTACATATGTGTACTATGCCTGGCCTGGCATCCAGGATAATATCAGGCGCAGTTCTACAGATAAGTCTGCAGAGGGGCCCACACACTAAACCTCATGGAGATATACCTCTGCTGGTGCACTGGGATGGGTGGGGTGTGACGATGGTCCATGGACCTATGGAAGCTTGCTCTGAAAGCCATGTGCACCCACACTAGCACCGCCCATCCCCTAGGCACGAAGGGTCTGCCATGCAGTCCTACATCGTGTCTGTCTTTTACTGTTGGGAGAAAAGGGAAATTCAGAGCAGTTTATTTTTTAATAAACTCTGCCAGTATACGTTAAATGTGTGTGTGCGTGCGTTTGTTTCTTTACATATCTATTAAGATCTAGAAGAGCCAGGTGCTGTCTCAGCTATTCCAGAATCTGAGGCAGGATTAAAGCCAGCCTGGGTGACTTAGTTGATAAGTGGATAAGATTATCGAAATTTTAAAGCTTGCATGGGGGCAGGGAACTGGGGATATACCTCAGTGGTAGAGAACTTGCCTAGCATATGCAAGACCAAGTCCCCAGTTCCTGCCCCAACAATTCTAGAAGGATATGAGCCATACAGCAGAGCTGTTGGGAGCAGTATGCAGGTGGATAAGTGTGGGGAGGATTCCCCCCCTCACACACACACACACTTCTAGACAGTTTCTTTGTATATCCCTGGTTGTCCTGGAACTCCTGTAGACCAGGCTGGCCTTGAACTCAGAGATAGCCTGCCTCTGCCCCCAAAGTGCTGGGATTAAAGGCATGTGCCACCACTGCCTAGTTTAAGATTTTAGTTTTACTCTATATTAGTGTTTTCTGCGTGTGTTTCTGTACCAGTGTGCATGCAGTGTTCTTGCAGGCCAGAAGATGCACGAAGTCCTCTGGAACCCCGGTTCTAGACAGAGCTGGTAATTGATGCTGGGTCCTATGGAAGAGCTGCCAGAGCTCCAAACGCTGAACAATCTCTCTAGCCCAATGAACAAACCTTGCTTTTGTAGATTTGAGATGTTTACAGGAATTTATTTATGGGCAGATGTGGAAATTTCTGAAGGGCTGGGGAATATAGCTCAGTGTTTGTCTCACATGTACAAGGGTCTGGGCTCAATCATTAGCACTGGAAAAGAATACTAGGTGAAGTTTGATCAGTGACAATTGGTCTAATATTCAGTCCTGTTATGAAGACAGAGGTAAATGGGATTGACAGGTGGCACACATGACATGTAGATGACCCTGAGGAAGAAACAAGCAACAGTCACGGAAAGGCCTGGATATCTGCGGACATGGGAAAAACATGGAAAATCCATGCACTCAGCCTCTGGGTCTCACAATGGGCTCGGGGTCTTAGGGGTTGGGTGAGAAGTAGCCAGCTGGGGACTGGATGACCAGTTTGTCAATGAGTGAGAATTCATCCTTTGTGGAGATTTAGCATCCCAGACTCTCGAGTGACTGATGAAAGACAGTGGGTGAATGAGGAGGAAGTGTGTGGGGGAATGGATGGGATTTGCCTCCAAGGCTTGTACAGAAACAAGCAGCTTGGTTAGCACCTAGATGCTCTTTGGACTGCCTTAATAATTCCCTGAGGATGCTGGGAGGGGCAGAGGGGCCCTGACACACAATGAGGAGTTAAGAGAGTATGCTCTTGGGACAGAGGGAGAAGACACTGCAGGTGCTGTACAAGGGAAGGGGTGACGACACCATCGCTGTCCTTACCTCACCCCAGAGCTGAGAGGTTCAGGACGACAACTTTTGCATCCAATATCACCAGGTCTCGGCTTTCCCGTTTGCACAAGAAAGAGATGAGCCCCTTCCAAATCTCTGGTAAAATAGACCTTCTTTCCTTCCTTCCTTCCTTCTTTCCTTCCTTCCTTCCTTCCTTCCTTCCTTCCTTCCTTCCTTCCTTCCTTCCTTCCCTTCTTCCTCCTCCTCCTGTGTTTTTGTGACAGGGTTCCTATGTCTGTAGCTCTGTAGACCAGGCTGTCCCCTAACTCAGAGATCCATCGCCTTTGCCTTAGAGTACTGGGATCAAAGGTATCTACATGTGTCAAGCTAGGATATACCTTTCTGGCTCCATTTTGAGAAGAGCTGGGTGAGAGGATTTGTGACAGTCTGCTAAGGCCTGCAGTCTTTTCTGTTTCCTGCCTCTGGCTAATTTGACACAAGCTAGAGTCATCAGAGAGGAGGGAGCCTCAGGAGAAAACGCCTCCCTAACATCTGGCCGTAGGCAAGCCTGTAGGGCGTTTTCTTAATTAGTGACTGCTGTGGAAGGGCCCAACCCATTGTGGGTGAGGTCCTAGGTTCTATAAAAAAAGCAATCTGAGCTGGACACGGTGGCATTTGCCTTTAATCCCTCACCAGGAAGGCAGAGGCAGGTGGATCTTTGTGAGTATAAGACCGATTTATTTTATTTTATTCATTTATTTTGGGTTTTTTTTTTTTTGAGACAACGTTTCTCTGTAGCTTTAGAGCCTGTCTTGAAACTAGCTCTTGTAGACCAGACTGGCCTCGAACTCACGGAGATCCGCCTGCCTCTGCCTCCCGAGTGCTGGGATTAAAGGCGAGTGCCACTGCCCCACTTATAAAGCCAGTCTTGAACAAATCGAGATATACAGAGAAATCCTGTCTCAAGGGAGGAAGGGGAATGGAGGAGAGAGAGAGAGAGAGAGAGAGAGAGAGAGAGAGAGAGAGAGAGAGAGAGAGAGAGAGAGAGAGAGAGAGAAGGGTGAGCAAACCTTGAGGGAAAAGCCAGTAAACAGCACCGCCCATGGCCTCTGCATCAGCTCCTGCCTCCAGGTTCCTGCCCTGTTTGAAATCCTGCCCTGACTTCCTTCAACTATGGATTAGTTGTAAACCTTTCCTTCCCAACTTGCTTTTGGTCGTGGTGTTTCACCACAACAGTGGTAATCCTAACCAGGACAGGCTCCTAAACCCACCCACCCCCATTCTGAGCACTACCTGCTGCTCACTGGCCGTTCTCCAAGCTCTCCAAGCCCTCCCAGCACCCTCGCCCACATACTGTAATCATGACTGTCACATCTAAAGTCTACCCAGCTCATCTAGGACGACTCCAGGTTCTGGTTAAATTAGTCTTTTACCCAAGAGCCGGCACACCCCTGTGCATGGACCCACTTTCAAATCCAGCCCACTTCTCTTGAGGCCCCCGCTCCTCCAACACACCCCCGGAGTCCCTTGAGGTTGCTCACCCAGACCTGCAATCCCAGACCTCTCATACCCCTGTCTTAAGTTCCTTATGCTTCAAAGGAATAAAAAAATAGAAGTCAGCTAGGTATGATGGTGCACACCTTTAGTCCCAGCAGTGGGGAGGCAAAGGGAGGCAGTTCTGTGAGTTCAAAGCCAGCCTGGTGTACAGAGTGAATGCAAGGCCAGACAGTCAGGGCTACATAGGAAGACTCTGTCTCAAAAAACAAAGCATACAACAAAGAAAGCTATTTCACGGGGGCCATCTAATTTCTGCCCCAGCCCTGCTCACCATCTGTTGCCCTGGAAACCCAGCAAGGCCCTGGATGACCCCTCTGGCTCCCAATTCCCTCTCAAGCTCACTCTTGTGATACTTCCCTTATGGAAGCCCAGTCTGTTTATAACCTGCCCCAGCACCAGACTCCTCAGAAGCCTCAGACCCCTGTCATCTGCTCTTCCACTTCCTCTTCCCACCTTCATTTCTCTCCCTTTATTCTCACTATTCCAGGACACAGCTTCCATCCGGGGCACTGGTGACCTCAATTCTACTGAAGTCAAAAGCCCATTTTCCGATCTCGCCTCTCAGCGTTTGATCCACAGGCCAGTGTCCCTGCTCCAACAATCTTCCCACGCCTGCGTGACTCCGCTCTGCCTTCCTGTCCCCGGCAACACTGGCTGCACCTGCTTTTCTCTTTCCTCTGTCACCTCTGAGTGACAGTGGACCCGAGGCTCTATCTTTGGCTCTCTCGCCTTAGCACTAGCATGCTCACTCCAGCGGCACTAGTCCTACCTCCTGGGACTTTGTTATAGAGCTCATACACCTTCCCAGCGAGAAACCACTCCGAGCACACAGAGATGAATAAGGGAAAACGGTAATAATAGCAACTGACTAGTTCTGGCTAATACACAAAAG